CTGCTATTCAATCTATAACAGTGAAAAAAGTTTTTTGTTTTTAAATCCAAGCCATTGTGACACCAGATGTAATTGGTGGCACTGACTGGGGAAATGGGCACTGTGAGCCTGACACAGAAGCTGGCAGCAGTGGCAGACAACTAAGTGCATTTACATTACATAGAAAAAAAAAATCAAAAAAAAGCATACCCTTATCCCTAACCTAGCTATGCTTTTCCCTATCTTATGAACAGCAGCTACACTTTCCCTCCTCTTACTAAGCATGCAGCTTGAGAATGAATCTAAAATGGATGCTGTCCAGTAGGTGGGAGGGTCTGCTAGGGAGGCTGTGCTGCTAATTGGCTGGAATGTGTCTGCTGACTGTGAGGTACAGGGTCAAAGTTTACTCAATGATGACGAATAGGGGGCGGGTCGAACCGCGCATATGTTCGCACGCCGTGGCGAACGCGAACATGCTATGTTCGCCAGGAACCGTTCGCCAGCGAACCGTTCGGTACATCACTAGTAACCAACCACCAAAGAGTTGTCACCACTTTTATGGATAGGTACTACTCTCGCAGTCTTCCAAAGTTTGGGGATGTAACCAGACATCAAAGAGTTGTCATCACTTTTATGGATAGGTACCACTCTCACAGTCTTCCAAAGTTTGGGTATGTAACCAGACACCAAGGATTCGTTAATTAGGGCTGTGACAGGTTTAGCAATTACCGGTGCACTGAGTTTCAACAGCGTAGCTGGGATTTGATCAGTTCCAGACCGTTTCTTTAATTTTTAGATTATTAAGGTGTTTCACAATGACACTAATAGGTGCACATCTAAAATTGGACTTCTCCATATTGGGTCTTTTCAAATTTAGTGGGGCTTGATCGATATTTTAGTTTCAGGATGTGTGTCATTTATTAGCTTGGCAATCAGGGTGGTGAAATATCCAACAAAATAATTGTTAAAGGCATTTGCTACATCTAGGGGGTGTTGCAGGGTTTGGTTGTCCACTTTGACAGTGGAGAGTTGGCAGTGGATTATTTTTTTTATAAGTTTCCAGAGATTTCTAGGGTTTCAAATGTTATTCTTTAGATTACAGATTACTATGATCACTGCAATAGGGTACTACCCTTAGTGCTGAATTTCCCCAGGGCTGGAAACAGTAATATGTGATTTAATGTAGAGTTGAACCCTCTGTAGAATTGTAAATACAGCATCAAGCAGCCTTTTATTGTAGCAGAACAAATACATTTATTCAAGGTTCAAAAATCATGACAAAATAAAGGGGAAACACAAAGAAAAAAACAACAACGATCTATTTTCTCTTTCATGTCTTATATATCCTAAGTAAAATAAATATGTTTAGCAACAATCAGAACAACCTTAACCCCTTAAGGACGGAGGGCGTACTATTACGCCCTGCAGGAGCCGGCTCTAAACGCCGGCGGGCGTAATAGCACGCCCTCACTTTAATGGCCGCCCATGTGGCCGGCGCTATTCGCCCGCTGCAGATCGCGGTCGGGGGGGATGCCCGGCCCCCCAGGCAACCCCCCCTGTGGCCGGGGACCGCGATCTGCAGTCACTGATCGCAGTGACAGGCTGTCACTGCGATCAGTTTTTAACGTGTGTCAGCCGATTTGAAATCGGCTGACACACGTGGCCGGCGGCTTTCTGCAATGCAGATCGCGGTCGGGGGACTTACCTGGCCCCCCAGGCAGTCCCCCTGGGGTCAGTGACCGCGATCTGCACTGTCTGAGATCGCAGTGACAGGCTGTCACTGCGATCTCAGAGCTCTCTGATCGCAGTGACAGCCTATTGGCTGACACATGTAACTGGCACAAAGATCCCCCTGCAGATTGGAAGGGGGGGAGTGCTTGTACCACCCAGGCACTCCCCCCTGTGGCCAATTACCCAATCTGCAGGAGGTGATCACAGTGACAGGCAGTCACTGTGATCACTGATCCTGTGTGTCAGCCAGTGATGTGAAATCACTGGCTGACACTGTCTCTGCCCCCTGTCCTGTAAAAAAATAAAATATTAGTTAAAAAAAAAAAAATTACAGTTACAAATAAAATATACTTAGATCATATATATTATATATATGATCTAAGTATATATATATACACACACACACACACATTTACACATACACGAAGTGTATTTAAATATTAATATATATAATTATTTATATATATATTACTATCAAATTACACGTAGACTAATACTGATTAAATATATATATATATATAATTATTGTTATATATATATATTTATATATAATATAAAAAAATGTAAATACGTAAAAAAAATTAAATTAAAAAAATAATTAAAAATAAATAATAAAAAAATATATAGATGTTTGTTGTTTCGTTCTAACTGTATTGTGATATTAATATATATATATTTATATCAAAATACACGTAGAACGAAATAATATATATATCTATATACATAAATATATACGTATATATCACTATATATATACACACCTATATATAAATAAAAATATTTAAAAAAATTATATATATATGTATATATACACATATGTGTGTATATATATACATATATTAATTCTACACATATATTTATGTAATATTTTTACATAATTAGGTATCCTAATTAATTACAATTAGCGGGACCTGCCTGACAACCCATGCCGAAAGTATAGGGAATTTAATTTGCTAGCACTATATTTAACCCTATAACTTTCCAAGACACCATAAAACCTGTAAATTGGGGGTACTGTTTTACTCGGGAGACTTCGCTGAACACAAATATTAGTGTTTCAAAACAGTAAAATGTATTACAACAATGATATCGCCAGTAAAAGTGAAGTTTTTTGCATTTTTCACGCACAAACAGCACTTACACGGATGATATTATTGCTGCAATACTTTTTACTGTTTTGAAACACAAATATTTGTGTTCAGCGAAGTCTCCCGAGTACAACAGTACCCCTCATGTACAGGTTTTATGGTGTTTTCAAAAGTTACAGCGTCAAATATAAGGCTTGTGTTTCATTTTTTTTCACATTAAAATTTGCCAGATTGGTTACGTTGCCTTTGAGACCCTATGGTAGCCCAAGAATGAAAATTACCCCTATGATGGCATACCATTTGCAATAGTAGACAACCCAAGGTATTGCAAATGGGGTATGTCCAGTCTTTTTTAGTAGCCACTTAGTCACAAACACTGGCCAAAATTGGCGTTTTTTGCATTTTTCACACACAAACAAATACTAACGCTAACTTTGGCCAGTGTTTGTGACCAAATGGCTACTAAAAAAGACTGGACATACCCCATTTGCAATACCTTGGGTTGTCTACTATTGCAAATGGTATGCCATTATGGGTGTAAATTTCATTCCTGGCTACTATACAGTCTCAAAGGCAACGTAACCAATCTGGCGAATTTCAATTTCAAATGTAACGTGCTATATTTGACCCTGTAACTTCCCAAAACGCCATAAAACCTGTACATAGGGGGTACTGTTTTACACGTGAGACTTTGCTGAATACAAATATGTGTATTTTATTGCAGTAAAAGCAAACAGTATTATGACACTGACCGTTAAAATGTCATGTAGAACTAAAAAAAATCAAAAAAAAC